ACACAGAGACCATGTTATCCTTCAAAGTCCTAGGGTGGGGCCTCTGTGCCTATGCCAGTGAGGCTGCCACTCTTTTGGGGGACTTTGGTAGGTTGATACTCAAATGTAAGAAAATGAGCTGCAGGAATTCCCTGTAAAGTATGTTTTCTTTCTTCTTTTTCCTTTTTCACTAAGCAAGATTAACAAGTTGCTCACCAGCCATATCGTAAGATGGAACACTTAATGACTTCTAGGTACATCTCAACCAAGGTGTAGAGCAGAGCTGCCAGTTCGGGCCCCGGACTCAGGTGGATTTGCCTGGAACCCCGCCCTGACCTCGAGTCAGCTGTCTGACCTCAAGTCTCAGCCAACTGGTAACAATAATGCCACCTCATCTCCAGGTCTGTGAGGATTAAGAGGAAACCATGTGTCAAGGTGCATGCAGGATGCCTGGCCACACAAAGTGCTCAGTAAATGCTGGTTTTGAATGTCATGACTAGTCAGCTAACTGGAGCAGATGGAGACTTGTATCAGTGAATGCAGTGCTGGTTCTAAAAGTCTTCCCCACAGGTTCAGTGACAGGAGGCCTTCTCAAAATCATGGTCTGACTTCCAGGGTGATACTTCACCAGGCTAGTGTCTTTGGAATAGAAAAGTTGAGGTAATTTGTTTGCACACTACTTAGCTTCTCTGACCTAACCGTCCTATGTGAAAATGGCGTGCTTGGAATCAAGAAGTGGCTGCCAAAGGTTTAAACAAGCTGTGGTTGGAGAATGAGAGTGTTCATTCCTGGCTGGGTGTTTATCGGTACATCCACTTTGGAAACTGTCAGCATCTACTGAAGCTAGACTTGTGCACACCGCGGACTCTTGGATACACACCAGACTGACACTCTTGTACATGTGATCACTGAGAGACACTGTTATGTTCACACAGCAAGAGTGTTGAAAGCCCCAAACTGGAAAGGATCCAAGTTTCCACCAACAGTAGAATGAATAAACTATGCTACATTCACAAATGGACACCACGCAGCAACGAGCACGCAGCATAGCCACCGTGATAACGGGGATCATCTCAAACAACATGCTGAGCAGAATCCACCATAGACAGAAAAGTCCGTACTGAATGACACCATTGACATGAGGAGCACAAACAGGCAGTACCCATCCATGTTAGTGTGAGCCCAGAGGTACACAATGATTGGAAGGGCAGCTCTGGGGGTATGGGCTCTGGAAGCGTTGCTGTCTTGTTCTGGATGCTCGTTACACAGGTTTGCGTGCCTGGTTGTGAAAATTCAATGAGCATGTTTGTATGTTCACACCTTTGTATGTCAATAAAAAGTTAAAAAGATATAAAAATTATAGTATAAACCTTTAAAGTGATAACTTTGTTTTTTGTCTAAAAAGGATTTAAGAATCTACACATTAACTTAAAATGTTTCCCTAAACTGATGTAAAACTGACCCTCTTTTCCATAATGGCACGAACACCTTAGGCAGAGTATTACCAGGAACAGGACTTTTGAACATAAGTTCCAAAAGGGCAAATATAGAAGTTGTTTATTGTGGTTTCCCTGGCATAGTATCTACCAAAAATTAACTAAATTAATCAACAATTAAACGACTTTTTCATTCAAAAATATTCAGTGCACTTATCAGCTGTCAGTCATATAGTATAAAAATGCCAGAGAACACGTGAAGAGAAATTTTCACTATGGATCTGTCCAGTACTCCTGCTGAGGAAGTTTTCACACTTCATACTCAGCTGCCTACAGGTTAATCTCATTCTGAGTCTCAGTGAATTCACATCTGTGAATAAGAAAACAGGATGTAAGGACAGACTCTGAGTCATAGAGATCAAGCCATGAAAGTGTGACCAAGTACTTCAGGAGTCTGCCTAACAAGATTCAACTTAGAGTGAAAAGCATATGTAAGACGCAAAGATGGGTGGAGTCCCACATTAATCTGATTTTATCTGCAACATTTTCTTTTAAGGTAGTAGAGGAGAATGGGATTTGGGAAACATTTTTAACTGCCCTGAGATAAGGACTTTCCAAAATTTATTCCTTTGTTAACATCTTGGATATGATAACACTTTTGAAAAACTCAGTAAAAGAACCTATTTAATTACTGTGATAACACTGTTACATGTAAGTGACCAAGCAAGCTAACAGATTATACTTAAATTTTATTGGCCTATTTAGTAGCCATATTATACATTTTCAAATGCAAAGTTAAACTTTATTTCTGACTAAAACGGAACAATACAGAATAAATTAATTCTCAGTGGCCTGTGCTAATTGTGCACAGGAAGATATCCATAAGTTATAGTCTAGATACATTATATTATATTTATATGTGTGAGTGTATATGATAACAAGTACATTTAGTTCTAAACGTCCATCTTGGATAGTTTTTAGAGCTAATTTACCTGAAGGAACAGTCCTTAAATTAATGTTAATGTTAGCTTGCATGTGCTCAGCAATGAACTCAGTGGCTATCTGGTCCCTTACTGGTCTAGGCTCCTGGCCTGGAGGTGCGGGCAACACCAAGGTGAGTATGACGATCCCTGTCCTCAAGGAGCTTCAGTCTAGTAGGGGATGAGACATACTAGACTGTGAGCTCCTCGAGGGCAGGAAAAGTGTTCTAGTCATCTTGCCCCAGTGACCAGCACCAGGCTCAGCTACTATGGTGCTCAGTGTTTGTGGGACTGAATGCAGATGTAGCCAGTGTGGCAGAATGGGGGGATGTGACAAGAACAGTGCTCTGGAGACTCCAAGGGTGGAGGTGAGTTAGCTGGGAAGTCACAGCAGAGCCAGCACATGATTGAAGCCCAGGATAGACAGGATCTCACCAGGGGGAAGAGGTGGTCCAGGCCAGGAGGCGGGGTTAGCTTGGCCACAGTGTTAGAAAGGGAAGGAGTCTCAGGGCTGCTCTGGAAGCCTCTACCTAACATGGGAGGACCAGGAACCCATTGAAGGCTGTTTGAGTCAGGGACTTATGTCCCACAGCAATGCTGCAGAAAGATGGACTATGAGCTCTGCCAGGCAGACAGGAAGATAGCCAGGGAGGAGCGGGCAAGGAGGCACTGCAGTGAGGTCTCTCAGGCTGTCAGCTGGTGGGTGGGTGAGGAATTACCCATGACTCTAAGACGGTCATGAAGACACCGGCCCCACTGTCACCTATAGAAGGTGAGGGGCTGAAAGGCCACAGCTTTGCTCTGAACAAACATGTCAGCCAGTGGATATTTCAAATGCAGGTGGAGGGGTTGTGAGAAAAGGCAGCACAGATAAAAGCTGATGACAGTGGGAGGGAGAAGCAAAGCCCAGGCCCGCTTCCGAAAACCCAGGAGGGTAGAGAGGAAGGGGGCCCAGAGATAGAAACCTGGTCACTATTCAGAGTGACGGGGCAGGGTTATTCAAGGTCAAGAGATGAGATTCAGGGAGGAAGGCAGATGGAACTGGGATCAGAAGGTAAAGTTTGCAAGGACGGAATCTATAAAAATTGTGAGGAAACATCAAGGGACAAACAAGTTTATCAGCAAAACATGAAGTAAAGCATGTTCAAATCCAGCTCTAACAGTGCGAGAACATGTAACTTAGTAGTAGCAATACTGGGAAGTAAGGCCTTAGCTTGGATAAGGCTGTCTAGAAACACTGAAGACCTGGTATGTGAAATGCAGAGCAGAGGTAGGCTGTGAGCCCTGGAGAGGCCTCGGCCAGCGGGCGGCAGCCACTCGCACAGGGTGGGAATAACTGCGACTCCTGTCTCCTCCACTGGACCTTACCCTCCAGGGGCAGGACTGTGCTTTGTTCACTGTGGAATCCACAGAACTAGCTTAAAAAGGCAGGCACTGATTGAGTTGCCTGAGAGGTGAGGCTACAGGGGGTTTAGAGAAGGTTCAAGCACTGGTGATATGGTTGGGCTGGATGAGCTCAGGGTCTTCTGGATCCTGATATTTGGTAATTTTTATGAAAAAGACTAAATCATAGCAAATTTTAAAAAAATCTCACATAACCTCAGGGAAGCACCCCAAATATGAATCAGGTGACACAGCTCACAATAAACCATGGCACTGGTTGGTTGTATAATTAAGCTCCCTATGCATATGTATTATATTAAAATATCTTCTTTATTAAAGTACTAAGTCTTAACCTAGATTTAATTCAATTCAACTAAATAACTTTATTGAACACTTATTAGGTGCCTGGTCCTAAGCTCTGGGGCTGCAGAAATGAGTAAGACATAGTGGGGCCCTTCGAGAGCCTGAGTCTGGCAGGGGACACAAACTAGCAAATGAGAAACTCTCCAGGCCAGATGGAAGGGCCACCTCTGTGCAGACAACAGAGAGATCAGTGCACTAAGAAGTCCCTGAGTGTGCCCTCCAGGGAGCTACTGAAGGTTTGGGTTTAACAGTGCCTGGCACAAAGTAGAAGCCTCTAAATGGCAGCTGAATGGCAATGTGGATGTTTTAATATAACAACAGAAGTTCTGAAAAGGTACCACAGGAGTGGCTATCTCTTTAGGGGTAGGATAGATGAGGGAAGTTTCCTGAAGGAGGTGACATCTGAGCTGGATTCTAAAGATGAAACAGGGTTTATCAGGGGTCAAAGGTGGGGAAGGCAAATCTGAGAGACAAGACAGCATGAGAAGAGGCAGTGAGCTGTGCTGGGAGAATAGCAGGTAGTTAGGTATGGCTGTGGCTAAATATCAGGATGAAGGAGCTGTGTGAGATGAGACTGGACAGGTAAGCAGGGACTACATTACTGCAGATCTTGCATGCCACGCAAAGTCAGTTAGAAGTTAGGGGAGAGAGATATCATAATTTGAAGTTTATTAGGATTTGAAAATATAATCTACTTAAGACTCCTGCAAGGTATAAATAAGTGCAAATCAATTTCAAAATTATGTTTGCCCATGAAACAGATTAGCCTTAGACGTGCTGATAAAGTGACCTTGACTGCTATTACTCAAGGAGCAGCAGCGAGCCTGCCCAGCCCGGCCCTCTCTTCCCCCACTCCTACCTGAGCTGAGCCTTGAGCTCAGTGAACCGGGGCCGCCTGCTGGGGTCATAGGCCCAGCATTTCGTCATAAGGCTGTAGAGGGTGGGAGGGCAATTTGGAGGCATTGGCAATCTCTCCCCATTCTCAATTCGCCCGATCACATCATTGTTCTTCACTCCTTGAAAAGGCTTCACACCATGCATCAGTATCTCCCACATACATACACCTGTGAAATGGGGTGAGAACAGAACAGGGCACTTAGCAGGAATCACTTCAGAGTCGGTACGAGAGCACCAGCTGTATGATGTGGGCAATTGGCTAGATAAAGCACATTCAATGAACTCTTGCAAGAACAGCAACACTAATTTAATATCATGTGCATAACGAAATGTTAAGTTATCAAAGAAAAACCATACTTTTTCTAAGAGGTTTATTTCTGTAAAACTCCTCTATTAGAAAACGGCCGCTGGCCACACTTTCTGGCTGAGTGAACAGCTCAAAAGCCTCAGGGGTTCCAACTCCCCCCACCCCCGCCTGTCAGCCAACCTGCTACCAGCACCACTCCTGACCAGGGGCCTAACAACAAAAGCCCCAAGGTGAAGTCCTATAGTCAGAATGCTCGATCCCTTTAGAGCTGTCCCTCTCTCAGACCATCCTGGCTGAGGTGCACAATGGTCCTACCGTCTGGTCCACCCACTAATCGGTCACTGTGTCTGGGAATTCTCGTTCACAAACTCTAAGATCAACCTCAGAAAGTTCCCTCACACTCTACCCCTGAGGATCACACACTTTCTCAGTATCATCAAAATAACACTTGAACATTCACCTTTAAAATAAACAAGCAAACCAAATCTAGAACTGAAAATGATGATCACCTATGGAATGACCAGGGAACCAAGGCGTGTATGGAGGAAGGGGAGGCTTTCTCCAGGTAGGGTCTGATCATCACGTGGCACTTTGGCCCCTGGAGATCTTGATACCCTGCACATGCCACAAACATGCCTTTACTTGTGTGAACTTCTCCAACTTAATGCCCCTTTATTTCCTTCTTCACAAACTCTCCTCTTCTGAGGTACGTTTGTGAATTCTTCTATAATGTTCTTCCCGATTCTCCCTGGGACACCTTGTCTCTACTCCATCGTAAGTGCATATTGTACACCTGCTGTCCTCAGAACAGGAGCTGGGACTCTCCTTCAGTTTCCTCAGTCCCTAAAATGGTTCGTCCCTCAGAGGAGGCATGGCACAGTCTCAAAGAAATGTGAATTGGCCAAAGTCCAATAATTTCCAAGTAAAGAATGCATAAGAAAAATAATGCCACCCTAGCTGGTTTTCTCAGTGATTAGAGCTACGGCCTGCAGACTGAAGGGTCCTCCGTTTGATTCTGACCAAGGGCAAGTACCTCGGTTGCAGGCTTGATCCCCAGTGGTGTGGGCTGGAGGCAACCAATCGATGTGTCTCTCTCACATCGATGTTTCTCTCTCTCTCTTCTACTCTCTGAAAAAGCAATGGGAAAAAAAGAAAAAGAATGCCTTAGTTCTGCTTTTCTCACCAGAAATGATGACATTATCAGAAACACTGACACCAGGCGTCATTTGTTGAGATTGTGATACACAGCTGGCCCCTTCTTTGAATGTGCATGTCACCCTTAATCCTCACACCTTACATTTCTTTAAATATGGTATTTCGTCAAGTCTAAGACGCTATGGATTGTGAGATATGCAATTATTTATATGATAAAAAAAGGGAGAAAATGCTGCCAACTAAATTATGATACAAAAAAGAAACAAATAAATAATGATACAATCCTTCGTTATCTCTTGAAATTATTTTATTCTTACTAAAAAGCTTTTTTAACCCATCCAGACAAGAAAGTAACAGAAATGTGAATAAAACAGACAAAGTCCTCATGAGTGCAGGCGAGGCAGCCACATAAAACATGCCCCCAACTAACCCAAGCGTAGAATGCCGCGAGGCAGCCACATAAAACATGCCCCCAACTAACCCAAGCGTAGAATGCCGCTGATCTGTGACACAGTCCAGTTCCAAAAACATTAAAATGTGAAAAAAACAGGCATTTAGAATCTCTGAAGTACAGAACTTCCTAGAAAGGGTAAGTAACCTGCTTGCTGGCTGCACAGATAGCAAGTGAGGTCCTGGGACTTGAAGCCACATCAGTTGGACCCCAGAGCCTTTCCTGACTCTGTCCAGCTACTTCCTGATTGGCTAAAGAAGCCCTTTCTGAACCTAGTATCAGTGAGGATGCTAGATGGTTATTAAATCAACAGCAAGTAAACAGAAGAAAATAAGAACACACACTCGATGTAAAAGTTATTTTTATTATAGGAAAAGGCACATAAACATACCAGCAAAGAAAAGACTCATATAAGACTACTCACAAGATCCACGTGAGTATTACGACAGGGAGAGGAAGTGCAGGAGATGCAGAGACAGGGACTTCTTGTATCTGGACCCTAAACCTACCACACGAGGCTTCATGGAAGAGGGACATTTTAGGTGACACTGAGGTTACAAAGAACTTCAACTGGGGAAGAGGGTGCAAGATAAGGTGTTCCAGGTGGGAGGAGTCACAGCAGGAAGGGGATGGGGGAGGGAGTGTCACCCATACTGAAAAGGTGAGGAACTGAAAACCTAGATGTGGGAGCTGAAGTCGGCAGTGTGGATGCAGGAGAGCCCTCCCTTTATACTAGCTGGGAGGTGTTCAATGACCCACAGCAAGAGGAGGATGGCAGTGACTGATGTGGAGCAGACGTGGAAGAGGCAGGATCACAGAGACGGAGGTTCAAATCTTCAAGCCCTGAGACAGTCAGGAAGGAGGCAGAGTCCAAAATGAAGGAGGAAGCAGGGTTTCAGGTCCCCAAGTTTGAGGGGCTATCATAGAGCTAGATGGACAGTTAACTAAAGTCCGTCGCAAAAAAGGAATGAACGAGATGGCAGAGAGAGGAAGGAGAGAGAAAGAAATAGAGAGGCGATCTCCTTATGGGGGAGAAGTGATGGCAAAAGGAAACAAGGAACAAGTGACAAAAGGGGACTCAGCAGCTAACGTCACAGAAACCAAACCTAGAAGCTGGTGCATGGGCTCCACCATTATCTGCTGAATGAATCAAAGAGGAGGTTTAATGACGAGGAAGGAAACCACCCCACACACTCTGAAAGACGAGGCTCAGTTCATTTAGTAGAACAGGTGAAACATAATTAGAAAACCACAAAACTTTTCAAAATACTCACCAAACATCCACACATCACTAGCTGAGGTAAAACGTCGAAAATTGATTGACTCTGGAGCCATCCATTTAATAGGCAATTTTCCTTTGGAAGCTAGAAGATTAATTTTAGAAAGTGAATTTTCCCTGTTATCTCAAGACTCTAACAGTTATAGCTAGCAGAGGTTTTCAGTATCAAAATAAAAAGCTTTAAATATTTGACCCTTGGACTTCCATTTCTTTGGGAGAACTACTTTTCCTTTCCTTGATGTCCTGAGGTTCCTAAAAGGATGAGAGGTTACACTAGGCAGGGATGTGGAACAGTGTCCTTTCCAGGGAGAGGCAGGAGCAGGTACAGGGGGATGAGAGGTTACACAGGGGCAGGGACGTCGAACAGTGGTGTCCTCTCTGGGGAGCGGAGGGAGCAGGAAGTGAGAGGGGGCCCCGTTAAGCAAAGGTGTTAGCTGGCAGCTCAGTTAAGCAGGCTTCACAATTCCCCAAGCGGCTCCTAATCCGTAGGACATAGTTCTTGTGGTAGAAGTAGCCTAAGACAGACAGCCCATTCCCATTCACAAAGTCACCTTGAACTCTGAACCACCGTGCCCAGGGAAATATTACATATACATAAGCTTATCTCATATGGATTTATAACTCAAACCTTAGCTGAAGCACTAGAAATATGAAAATTTATTACTAAAATATTTGTCCAATAATTTGAAGTACCAAGTCAATCTGTCCAAGACTGGCAAATGAAAGAAAATCACGAGCTAGATTTCAGTTCAAACTGATGGGCCGAAGTTCTGGAGTCAGCCGACTTGAGATGTGTTAGACGCCACTCACTGAGCTAAGGAAACCAACCCCATCTGCTGTTGGGTGTCTGACTACAACTACCAGTTGAAGGATACCTGGGCGGACTCCAATTTTTGGCTACTAGAAATAAGCTGCAATGAACATTCAAATACAAAGGCTTTGTGTGAACACAAGTTTTCATTTCTTCTACAGAAATGCCCAGGAGTGTCACTGATAGGTTACAGGGTAGTTGCATGCTTAGGTTTTTAAGAATCTGCAAGCTCCTGCTCAGCTGATTGGAGTTTCGGCCCATATAATGAAAGGTTGCGGGTTTGATCCTTGGTCAGGATGTGTGCAGGAGGCAACTGATGGATGTTTCTCTCTTCCTCTCTCTCTCTCTAAAATCAATAAAACAACAACAACAAAACATATCCTGGGGTGAGGTTTAAAAAATAAAAGACTCTGCAAACTCTTTTCCAGAGTAGCTGCATCATTTTAGTTTCTCACAAGTAATTTCAGTAACTTGGTTTCTCCGTGTGTCAGCACTTGGAGTTATCACAATTTTTACTTTAGCCATCTGATAGGTGTGCGATAGTATCTCACTATGGTCTTAATTTGCATGTCACTAGTAAGTGATGTATTTATTCCATCTGCATATCCTCTGCAGTAAAATCTTCGTATCTTTGCCCATTTTCTTTCTTTCTTTGTTTCTTTTTCACTGTGACATTTGAGTCTTCCTATAGTCTAGATATTAGTTCTTTGTTGGACAGATATGTGGTTACCAAACATTTTTTTCTGCTCTGTAGCTTGTCTTTCTATTCTTTTAACAAGTCTCTTGCAAAACAAAGATTTTTAATTTTAATGAGGTCCAATCTATCCATTTTTCCCTCCTATAGATGTTTTTGGTATCGAGTGTAAGGACTCTTTGCCTAGCCCTAGATCCCAAAGACTTGCTCCTGTGTTTTTTCCTAGAAGTTGTACATTCTGTAATTGTCTGTGACCCTGTGAGTTACATGGATGAGGCCAGGCTGAGCCCACTTGTGTCTGTGGACATCCAGAGATCCAGCTCCATACCTTGTTGGAAGGCTGTCCTTCCCTGTGAACTGACTTCACACCTGTCAACAACCAGCTGAGCATGTTTCTTAAAAACATACCTTTTAAAGAAATGAAAATCATTAAAGCTCCTGAGCCTATTTCCTATGTATTGCTCTGCTCTTACCTTTGTAGTAAGTACTGTCTTCCATATATCGGGATAATCCAAAGTCTCCTAATTTCACACAATCATTTGAAGACACCAGGACATTCCGAGCAGCAATGTCCCTGATAAAGAATTTGGGACAACAAATTTTAACACAAGGAAAACAAACCACAAAGTCATCTATATTATATAATGGCACTTTGAAAGACAGCTTATGTACAATGCAAATAAGAGATTTATCACACACTGAAAAAAAGGACACTTTATTATTTTACTTCAAACATATTCCTTCTGGCAGATATTTACTCGTTAATGACAATCAGTATTTGGAATGATGGCAATAAGTATATTTTCAAATAATAAAACTGCTCATTACTTCTTAAACAATTGTATTTACAGTGGCATTACTGACTGACGGTGACCCACAACCATGGTCTGTACCCTGCTGGCCTCAGAGACAGGATGAAATAAAAGTAATCTCCTCAATACTTGTCAGTGTTTTCGCTGATGCATTTGTTTTAACGCAGGGTCACACAACTCTAACACAATACCTAGTTTTCACCTGCATTCAAACTAGACCCAGGTTATAATTAGAAATTCCAGAGGACACCCATAGATGTCACTCATGATATTCAGTGTTCTGGAAGGTCCTCGGACAATGTGTGTCAAGACCATGTGTTCACTGCTCTAGTGCCGTGGTTAGGCTCTCCATAGTATTTGTGGAAGGAATAACTGATCTGAAAGTGATACCTCACTTGGCTAGGACAGACGCAGCACCTGCACACCGGGGTCAAGCACACAGGCCTCTCCCCCATTTCTTCACCCCCTCCCCTGCCTGGACCTTACCTATGCACAAATCTCTTGCTCTCCAGGTATGCGAGAGCTGTGCTAAGCTGGTAGGCATACAGGATCAAAGACGCCAGGTCCAAGTTGTACTTCCGGACTTGCAGAAATGACCTCAGCTTTGGGACAGTGACCAAGACAAAAAGGAAAGATTAGTGACAAAGAACAGAAATCCATAGCAAAAGAGCCATATCTAACAACAATGCTGCCCATCTCCAAGTGCACTTAATGAGAATGGCTTCAATTTTCCCCTAATAAAAAAAGCATAACAAACAAAACACCTAGTTCAGAAATTATGGTTAATCATTCTTTATTTGAAATCCTATTGTCAAATTGTAATATTCATGACTATAGACAAATTTCTGGAAAAAAATCAGAAAGATGTTTCTAGGGAATGAATGAAAGCACAAAATATTGCTAAATAATAATATTTACAAAACAAAAAGATCTCGTTACCACTCAAATAAGCCCAATACACAAACACAGCCAGCTCACACCACTCCAAACATCACTGCATCCTGGGTAGGTCTGAGGATAGGTGATGAGGAGGGAGGGAGGCAAGGAGCAGTGTGTGTCGCGCCCCCCCCCCATGGAGTTTTGGGTGCAGAAAGGTAAACCAGTCACATGTTGGGCATTTATCCCACTGGGCTTACCAGTGTCTCTTACCATTGTCATGATTAATTCAGCTAAATGCAAGAAAGGCAGAAGAATTTAACATTCTAATTCTACAAAATCAATACATAAAGGAGAAACATTTAGCAGTTTTTTAATCCCAAAGAATTAGATTCTTCAAGAGCAAAAGCAGAAAAATACTATACAAAAATAAGGAAAAACTCCATTTTATCTGGAAAAGTAGAGCAGAGGAGGGAGATGTTGTAGGAACCTTAAAATGCTCCATCCAGCAAACTTTGTGAGCATATGTGGGGAGAAAGAGCGTGAGGACCTCATGCAGGGCCTTTTGGGGGGGAGGGGGGAGGCTGATGCTGTTGCAAAGAGGAGGAAGGAACAAATTACACTTTGGTTCTTGGTAGCTGGTAACTCCTATGCTTATCAGAAGCAAAACTGTATTTGGTACCCTTTAAAGAACAAGGAACATGTGTAACCTTTTCAAAGGTTGCATTACTAAGCTTCAGTAGCAGAAAGTTAAGTGCGGGCATCTGAAAAATCAAGCTGTGTTTGTCCCCAACCAGGCCAGGCTACTGGGAGGCCTGCAGATGAGAGCAGGGTTCTGGGCCAGCAGGCCTGGGGTGGGGCACAAGAGTTTGCATTTCAAACAAGTTTCCAAGTGATGGTGATACAGTGATTAAAAAGGTTCTGTATTCTGGAAAAAGTCAAATAAGGAAAGCTGTTCACGCTCCGTTACTCACATTAAAAACACACACCAAACTGTGACTAATCTCATCAGTTGGTCTAAAAGACTCTGCAATGTGAATTCTCAAAAAGCTTAAGGATCTGTTTAGATTTACCAAAATTCAGCATTTAAATTACATTGCTTCTTTCATCCGCACATCACTGGGCTAGTTCTCTAGGCACCAGCACTGGAGAGGGAAAAGAAGAACCACTTGGTCACCTGTTGTTTCCAGTCCTGACAAAACTTTTGGTCAGGCCAGATGCTCCTGCCGGATTGAGTTAGGAGATGACTGGGGAATTTAATGATGAGGACACTGCACCATATCCTCTGAATCAAAACCACAGGGGGCACAACATATCCTTCCTTTCTTAACAAGGGACATCACACAGCCAGTGTGGACTGAGAACTGAGCTGAGCCAACCTGCACTGGGCAGCCCGCCCGCACAGGCCTGGTCTGGCTACGGTACCTCTCCAAGTGTGCACAGCTCCATGATGATCCAGACAGGGTTTTCTGTGATGACACCTATCAGCTTCACGATGTGAGGGTGGTCAAACTGGCGCATGGTCACTAGGGGAGAACAGTGCCCACAGTTACTCTCTCGCAGGCCCTTAGGTGGTAATGGCTGGCGCACTATGTATTTTCTTGGCCTAGACTCTCTAGTAATGAACTAGGTGGGACAGAAGTCACTTCCAGGCCTGTGCAGTACTTAAGAAAGAGATAGAGAGTAGGATTAAGGCTATGCTTAGACACAATTGATGAAGTCATTGTAGGGTTTCTTGACTTATTAGTTTACTGACATGTGATAAATATTCCCAGAGATGGAGTGGAAGACGGTCGGTTGGTGTACATGGAATGAAGGACACTGAGATTTATACAACCAATGTCTCCCTTCTGTGAGCAAAACAGACATGGTCCCTGTCCCCCAGGGAGCTCTAAGTCTACAGCAGGGGTGGGGAACGTCCAGCCCACGGAGCGTATACGGCCCGCAAAATCATCTGTTCTGGCCCTGCCAAGGCAACCACCAGGTGGGACCTGAAATTCAATAAATCTAGGAGCTTTTTTTCATAGCTAATTTTTAAGTTGATTATTTTGTATGGCCTGCAAATGATGTGAGAAATATCCAAATGGCCCGTGGCAGAAAAAAAGGTGACCCACCCTGGTCTAAAGGGAGGGGGCAATAATAACACCTTAAGCAATGCCTACTTAGTTATAAATACTTGGGAAGAAGAGACCACGGCCTGTGACGAGGCTTCTAAGGAGAGACTACTTTATGCAGTCAGATGAGAAAGGACAAGCCACGTAACACGTGAGAGGCGGAAGGACTCCAAGCTTGAGGGCAGGTAGGAGGGAGCCTAATGAGCACACACAAGACAAGCCTCCGCCTGTCTCTCTGAGAGTAGACAACCAGCAGAGAATACCCACATATGACCCCTTAGGCAGCTCCATCATGAGAGGCATGAACCCAGAGCAGAGGGACCAGGGGACTGTCGGTCTTGCTCCCCCTGAACTCCGGGGCCTGCAGCATGGGGGCTAAAACCATTTCCATATCTGCCCAATTCCAAGGCAAAGATTTTAATGGTACAAGGTACCAAAGGACAAAAGGACAATAAATCAATCTATCTTCATACCCGAAACATCATGGCTTACCCCGAAAAATCTGTAGATACAGCCTCTACAAATACAATCAATTTGCAAGGCAAGATAATAAAAGTTGTTGTCTCATAAAAGTCAAAACATTATTTTTCTTCTTCAGAGAGTTTGGATTTCACAGATAAAGTCAAATGGAGTTCCACAGAAATTTCTAGACACTTACAGGCTTCCTGAAGGAATTTCTCTCTCACGCTGTCGGAAGTACAGTTTTTACATGTTTTAATTGCAACCGCCAAAGCTGGATTCTCCTGTTGGGAAATCAGAGAGTCACACGTGTGCCAACAAGGTCCTCTGCCTGCGGCAGAGGGCATGCTCAGAAAGCTGTCTGTTCTGCGGACACATGGACTCTGGGCCAGACAGAACCAGAACTGTAAAGTCTCAGAGTGGGAGAACTACTTAAAATACTCTGTGAAAGCCCCATGAAAATAGGTGTGGGTGCGAAATGCCACTGGTGATCCACTGACTCCAGGCTTATTTTCTGTTATGTTCCAGGCACTGTTCTAGGTGCCGAGGATATGCAGTGAACAGGGGCAGTGATCCCTGCTCCAGGGAAGGGCACAGACATGAACACAATAGAGAGTGTATAGAGAAGCACACTGCGGGCTGTGGGAGGTGGGTGCTGCTATGCTAGCAGGCATCCCCAGGGAGATGAGGGCACAAACCTAGGAAGGGGGAACTGAGAGCGGTTGGGCCGGGGGGCGGGGGGCAGGGTGGAGGCCATGAGCTTAGGGGGCAGCAGAGCCCAGGCAGGTGGGACCAACAGGAAGACAGGCTTTCACTTTAAATGAGATGGGTTGGGCAGGAATGACATCCTGAGAAGGAATATTCAAGTGGTACTGAGAAAAGGCCACAGAGGGGGAGGGAAGGCCAAGTATAGATAATGGCAGCTTGGACAAGTATGGGAGAAGTGGAGGAGAGGAAGGGGACATACTGGACTGTGGGTGAGAAGAGTTGGGCTTGGGTTTTTGGGCAGAGAAGGGGAAGAGGAAGGAAGAGATCAGAAGCTTAGCTGTGGATGTGACAGGCTCAGTCACCCAAATCACACCAGTGAGTGGGCAGCGAGGGAATGTGACTGGAGTTCAAGGGAAGCCTGGGCTGGACAGAGATATCTGGAAGTAGTCACAATGGGGACAGTGATGAAATCATACCGGGAGACAGGGGTCTAGGAGCTCTACAACATGAGAAGATTGGAGACCAGGAGGAGCGCAAGGGGGACTGACAGGATGTTGTCCAGGGAGCCAAGGAAACTGATCCTCTCTTGAACAAGTTCAAAAGAGAGAGCTTAAGAAATACAAGAAATAAGAGGCCATTTCAAGCAAATCAACAGAATACCAGAATGGTTCTAATTAGCAATGTTAAGTGCTTATCTCCAGCTTGCTTCAATACTGTCTTTGCCAGAACTATCCATCTATTCTCATGCTAGATTTCTCTGTAGGTGCCTCCCAAAATGCGGACCAATACAACCCCTATCAAACCTGTTTCTTCCTTCATCACCTCCATCTCATTAAGCAAAGAGTATTGACACAGTTGCTTGAGGTAAACAACCTGGAAGCCAGCTTGATTCCTCCATTTCCCTCATCTCTTTACATCCAACAACCCAGGGCCAGACTTACAGTCTCTCCCCACAGCATGCACCCAGAATCTGCCTAGCTCTGCCAGTCCATCTACATATGCCACCTGCCATCCAGTCTTCACAGGTCATCTTGTGTGACCCTGCTTAAACCCCTCCAATGGCTTCCATTCCCATCACACTTAGAATAAAAGCCCAACCCTTCACCACAGACCATAGAGGAAGCTGAATACTAGAGAAGTCAGATGAAAGGTTTTTTTCCTAAAAACCTTTAAAAGAGGCAAACATGTACATAACTGCTCAAGATATGGCTCTTTTTTTTTTAATTGGACATTTTATTTCTATTTCTTATATATGTTTTTGTTAATCCTTACCCAAGGATATTTTCTCTATTAATTTTTAGAGAGTGGAAGGGAGGGGAGGGGAGAGAGGAAAAGGGGAGGGAGAGAGACAGAGAGAGAGAGACAGAGAGAGAGAGAAACATCAATGTAAGAGAGACACATCAATTGGTTGTCTCCTGCATGCACCCTGACCGGGGCTGGGGAATGAACCTACAACCCAGGTATGTGCCCTTGACCGGGAATCGAACCCGCGACCCTTCGGTGTATGGGCCAACGCTCTGTGATAGGCAGACAGACATGAGCAGACCAAGGATGATGGGCCAGGTACAGAAGGTCACCAGGATGGAAAGCCATGGCTGCTTAGCAAAGGACAATTGTAGGGTGGGACCTGGCCCCCAGGGTGGCCTTTCCTCCCCTAGGTCTGTAGTTTGGACCCCCTGACCTTTCTTCCCCAGAGATAACACCTAGACCTCAGCTGTTTTTTAGCTCCAGGCCCAGAAGAAAAAAAAAACCAGCCATAGCCTACCTCAGGACTAACTGCGTTAAATGATGGCCTCCACCCTGGTGCCAACCAATCAATCACTGGAGACCACAACCCTGAAAGGACACACCTGGAAAGCTGCTGAATATTATAATGAGATCTTTCCCTGGGACCTGCCCTAGATCTCCAAGCTTAAAACCATTAGGACGGACCTAGCAGTTTTGCTCAGTGGTTAGAGCGTTGGCCCAAGGATTGAAGGGTCCTGGATTTGATTCTGGCCAACGGCATGTATCTCAGTGGCAGGCTCCATCCCTGGTCCCAGTTGGGGTTCATGGGGGAGACAACCAATTGATGTCTCTCTCTCACACTGATGTTTCTCCCTCTTTCTCTCTCCCTTCCACTCTCTCTGAAAAGCAATGGAAAAACTATCCTCAGGTGAAGATTGAAAAAATAAATAAAACCATTAGGACGGAGGACCCAGTGCTCTCCCTCCTGGGAGCATGCCTGTGCCTGTGCCTGTGCCTTTCCCTTTCCCGCTGCCCCCTCCCCCCACCCAGGCACCTAGGCCCAAAGGCCCTTCCTCATTCCCAAGTCCCAAAGGCCCTTTCTTTGTTTGCCTTTATAACTTGTTTCCTAAGCCCACTTCTTCTAGGAATTGTTTCTTCTACCTCTGTGATTTACCAAATAATTATTTTCTTATAGTTCGGGTCTTGGCTCTGAATTCTTTCCTAGCCAGAACCCAAGTACCGAGGTTACTGAACTCAGGTTTGGTCTGACCCCACGGACTAACACCAGTGCTGTTCCCGCTGCCTACAACAAAACCACTGAGTCATGCTGGCCAGGACTTAAGATATGGTTCTTAAAAACCTTCTTTAAAATATAGGCAACATTTAGGGGGAGAGACGTTTCAATGTCTAATGAAAATGCCTCTATGGTGTGTACTCTCCTACATAAAGATTATGATTAGGCCATGGCCAGTGTGGCTCAGTGGTTAGTGCATCAGTCCTTGCACAGGGGGGTCACGGGTTCAATTCCCAGTCAAGGGCACATACCTTGGTTGTGGGTTTGCTCCCCACTCCCTGATGGGGCACATGCAGGAGGCAACCAGTCGCTGCGTTTCTCTCATATCCATGTTTCTCTCTCCCATCCTCCCTCCCTCCCTCTCTCAAGAGCAATGGAGAAAAATATCCTTAGGTGAGGATTAAAATAAATAAAGACTATGATTAGGTTCTGAGTTAATAACAGCTGGTAGACATTTAAAAGATTTTAACAAATAAATCTAGAGAAGGAATGTTCAAGAATAAATGAGAAAAACAGACTTAAAAATCAATTTTTAAGGCGAGAATCACGATGAGAGAATGTGTGTTTATCAACTGATGCTCAAATAATAAAAAATAAGCCTGATAACCTTGCCTAATAAAGAAAAGAAGTGTACTAACGAGCCTTTAAACTTCGTCGTTACTGACTCTTAGAATGGAACTCAGAGTCCTGACCCCAAGGCCTACCAGGCCGCCGCAAAGCCCCAGTGCCTTGCTTCTCACTTTCCTCCTCCACTCCTCTGTGGCCTCAGTGGCGTCCCTGTGGCTTCTTCCCCCCACTCGTCCCTAGGGGGAGCTTGTGGGCTGCTCCCTTCCTTGCTTCAGGTCTCTGCTCACGCCACTTTATCAGAGGCCTTTCTGATTATCCCATGGGAAGAGCGTCCGGGCCTCCTCTTGCTCATGCTGTGTCTTCTTAGAGCATTTCTTGCCCACTTGGTATTTAGTGTGTTTGTTTTTGTCTGTGCCCTTGTGCCCAGACAGAATTCAAGTTCTGTAAGTAGAAACTTTGCCTATTTTGTCCATTATTATGTCCCCACACTTAGCTGTTATGTGGTAGATGGTAATAATTGCTGAAAGAATTCATTAAATCTCCATTAAGTAATTAATAGTGTTACGGGCAGAAATATTAACCATGCTCTGTTAAGCATGATTGTTCTGTTCTGATTAGAGAAAGCACATTCTAACCTGGCTAAGAGCCATAAGCCTGGGACAGTTGGAATGCGGTCCATTCTCCTTAACTGCCATCATCATAGAAAGATTAACCACCTTGTCGCCAAAACAAAGTGGTCCCAGAGGTGCCCCACCCTTTTGCAAACCCCCTAGCCCGCATTTCCTGTAACCTGTAACCATTATATCCATTCTTATTCCTTTTGCCCACTTCCCCATGTAATCTTTGTCCTTCTACTCAATATTAGCAGCTGGCTTATACGGGGTGGGGTAGAGCAGATTTTATGTGAATGACCTGCTGCTCTCTCCATGCTACCAGCATTACTGGAATAAATGCTCATATATGATTCAATCCTGTCTGCTTAATTGGCTCAAGTAGTGACAGGCATCCGGGACCCATCTGTTGTCCAGCTTCAATAGTAGGTTCTTGCCCATGATATCTGTGCTGATACATTCTGACTAGTTATTAAGAATCCTTGATAGAATGTTGTTTGATCTTATAGAACAGTACAGAGCATAACCTGGGAAAAGGATTTTTAATAGGAACCCAGAGAAATGAAGGCGCCTTTGCACTGTAAAATTAGACTCCCACATTAAAAACAAAATAAACATCTACATACAATACATATCAGAAAGATATTCAACAACAAAAATGTGAATCCTGGTATTACTCTGGGGGCAGGGTTTCAGTCAACAAATATTTAGTAAGCACTGGACTATGGACACTTCAAAAATTGTTCTCCATATTTTCACAACGAAAATGGATTGCTTATTTTACAGGTGGATGAAGTTGATCTTGGATGTTACTGACTGTGGGAACTTCAGAATGCTTGCCTATCGAGAATTTTAGAGATGAAAGGAAGTTCAGAGACCATCAGGCTTAACTGCAATAATTTAGAGTCAAGGAGCTTCCCTTCCCTTCTGTCTCAGAGTCGGATAGAGCCAGATCTAAAATTTAAGTCTTTTGACTAAATTTAGATCCAGGGCTCTCTCCACTGCATTTTGCCTCAATAAGCAGAGTTAAGAGAATTAGGAAGATCAGCAATACAGATGTAGTAAAAAACAACTGGAAGAGGAGTTGTCAGCTAAAAATATAGAGCAAATGATACCATTTTATATAAGCACAAAGGTAAAGACATTTAAAACTGAACTGCAGCATTATTTATAATAGCCCAAAGTGGTAATAACCCAAATAACCACCAACTAATGAGTAGATAAACAAAACATGGTGTGTCCACACAATGGCATGTTATTTGCCAATAAAAAGGAGTGAAGTTCTGCTACATGACACAATGTGGGTAAACCCGGAAACCACTGTGCTGAGAAAAACCACCACAAAAGGCCACACATAGCATGATTCCACTGGTATGAAATGTCCAGAATAGGCCAAAATATAGAAACAGAAAGTAGATGAGTGGCTGCCAAGGGCTGGGGGAGGGAGCAATAGGAAGTAACTGCTAACAGGAATTTCTTTGGGTGGGGGGTAAAAAAAAAAGTTCTAAAATGGACTGTGGTGATGGTTGCACAACTCTGTGAATATGCTAAAAAAACACTGAATTGTACATAAAAGAGTGAATTTTATAGTATGTGAATTATATTTCAATAAAACTATTAAATAATTTTAAAAATTCACTTAGTGGAGAATTTGGGGAAAATTAATGTTCTTTTCTTGACAATGCAGGTAGGTGGGAATATTAGCTAAATACTGTTAACTTTGGTCATCTACTTGTTAATTCCATCCAGTGGGACAATCTTCTATGGAATCTACAACTGTTGATAGGAGATGAAAGAGTAAAGTGATAAAAGACAGAGTCAGCCCTCTAGGAGCTATTTTGCCATTTTTCATTTTTTAATATATTAAGGAAGTTGACATATATGATGAGCTTAAAAAAGTCAACTGCAGTCCTGGCTAGTGTTTCTCAGTGGTTAGAGCATCAGCCTGAGCACCAAAGGGTTGAAGGTTCGATTTCTAGTCAAGGGCACATACCTGGGTTGTGGGTTCTCGCCCTGCCCAGGGCAAGGTGAGTGCGGGAGGCAACCAGTCCATGTGTCTCTCTCACATCGATGTTTCTTTCTCTCTCTTTCTCTCTCTGCCCCCCCCTTCTACTCTGTCTAAAAAGGAAAAAAAAAAAAATCTTCTGGTAAGGATTAACAAAACAAAACAAAAAAGCCAACTGCAAATACCTTGAAGAACTCAGGACTTACAAAGACAAACAAGTGGCAATTTAAACTTAAACAGTCAAAAGTAGTCCAAACTTTTGGTCTTACTGGGCTCAAGTAAATGCCTTGATGGACGTCTCCAAACTGGCCTTCTCCAATACACCGTCCAAGCTCTATTCTTTCTCTTTGAATCTCATAATCCCTGGCTGCAAAACAGGACCCACACATCAAAAACACAAGTACAGCATTCCAAACGTGGAAACAACACTTGACACAAGTTCATTTCTAACACCCTGGAGTAAAACGTCACATGGCACATCTGTCTATGAAAACACTTTAAACACAGTGGAATTCTCTTAAATAGCATTTTAAAGGAACTCATGTAACTTTATGGCACTGGCTGAAGTACCAAACCATCAAGTTCTAATACAGGTAGATTTTTTCATATTTTTTAATGTCTGAATTAGTTGATATCTATTTGATAGTTTTCTAAATAACTTCTCTATGTATTAAATTATATGCTTAATTAATAAGTACTATTAGTTCAGGTATTAACATATGAAGGCTCAAAAAGTTATTTAAAGCAATTATTTTACAAATAAATAAAGTTTGTAAATATGGAAGCAACAAAAATATTGTGTCATGAGTAACTACGTGTTTTAAAAGTTTAAGAGTGTCTCACTTTATTAAAGTCCTATCTTGATATTATTCATGGAGCTAAAAGAGTTTAAAGAGGTAGCTTCTAAAAATTAATTTCAAAATTAGACTCGGAATCAGGTTGAGCACATCACATAAATTATGAGTATTTTATATTTTGAGAGCATTTGCCTCAAATTAATATATTAGGTTGCCGATTTACACAAAACCAATTATTTAGAGGCACACAGAAAGAAATACCCACTAGGAACCTAGGAGATTGGTTCTAATCAATTCACTACTTAGTATGCATTTTGATTTCTCCCAGTCAGGAAAGTCGTCCCCGAAGCCCCTACCGCACATATCCCATTAGTGTGATCACCAATGGAATAAAACAACTTTCCCCTGGTTTATCAAATTACAAATCATGCAGAAATTCAACCCAAATTTAAGATGGTTATTTTCCTCTTTAAAATCACGTTAGCTAGTGTTTCCATTGGTTTAACAGAATGAGTAAACCCATGAAAAATAGTTTAAAAATAAAAGTTAACTGAAAACTGAAACATCCCATATCATTCCACAGATTGCAATCGCAAGCAAATAGTTATTTTAAAGGAATCCTGTTACCTTCATCTATTCCATAGCTTTCTGTATTGCAATTAAGAGAGAAAAAAATTGAAGACCTTGCTTAGAAATAACAGCAATTAGGTTAACAACAATAAACTCAGAGAGTACATGTCAATAATACTTGCTTTGTTAAATATTTTAACCATGAATATGAGTTAAAAAAAAGAACTAGACACAGGGAACTAAACCCCTCCGGTTAGTGCAATGTGACACAGAAACGCTCTCAAGTTCCACCTCATAAACTCCTTTAGGTAACTCGTTTTTCTGGGGTCTGGATAAGTTACTACATTGGACATTTACTACTCAACTCTGAATAATAAACACACAAATAAGAATTTGGATTCTCTGCAGGAATGTACAAATGACAAAGTGGTAACTAAAAATTAACATCTTCCCAAATTGCTACGGCAAGTCAAAATGTACACACTTAAGTATTAGCTCTCGCCTCTGTTTCATGCCCCTCTCATCGTTACAGGAGAGCTCTGGAAAGGTGGCCCAGGGCCCACCCAGGATTATGTTTGCCTCAGCAGGCTGTGTTGTTTCTCTTTATTTTGGTAATAGCTCGTCAATGTACACAGTAAATCTAAAATTCGAGCATCTTTTAAAATATTTACACAACAGGGTAAAAGCACCCCAAACATTTATGTTACAAATATGTACAGCTCTACTGAAATCAGCAAGTCAACTGTTGATTAAGGCCTCTGAAGCTGTAAGGTGGAATCCTAATGGGGCCTCTTTAAGAGGTAGATTTACAATTTTTTAAATGTGAGTGACATTTCAAAGGCATCTCCAGTTCAAGATCTGGGACTATAAACTCCAACCGGAGATCTGGGGCTTCCAGATACTCCTCAATCAACAAGGAGTTCGACAGAGAGAAGCAAGACGCTGACATTTTTAGGCTACAGAAAGTCAGCTTCCCACACATCCCACCTGGCTGCAGGACTGAACTAGAGCCCTTCTTTGTAACTGGTTAGTCTAGGGCAATAAAGAGCAGCATTTCACAAGGGAAATGCAAGTCACTGAAGAGACATATTCAAAAAATTAAATATAGATATGTTTTTTTAACTTTAAGTAACACTCATTTTCTACAGAAATTCTCTCATCAATAAAGGTTATATTATCACAGAGCCAGAAAGCAAGATGACAAAAAGCCCATAAGTAAACAGACGTATAGATATTTGAGTTTTAGGCACATAAAATGTAGAATTCTGAAGGCTGAAAAGAGAATTTGCTATGCACTCAATGAGGCATTAAAAACAGTTATGAAAAGGACAATAAGTATCTAAAGCTTTTCAATGTGAGCTATTTACAAGTTAAGTATCTGTCACATCTGAGCAAGAATGAATGAGAAGTCTGCTTACTTGAGGGCATGGTGTAGGTATCTTCTTCATCTATGATCTCAGCATAGTCGTCTGTTTCTGCAGAAAAGGAAACAGGTATGTTGGAAGAGGTTAAATATTGGACATCCTGGCCTGTGATATAATTTGAAAAGGCAAAATGGTATGCCTAAATTTCCTACTATACTGTCATATTCTTAAAACACTATTACTCCATTTTTGCTCACATGAGTCATTTATGGGGAAAAAAGTGACATCATGGTCCATTATGTTGTAAGACACAGACTTGTTTCTCAGAGAGCAGACAGAGCAGCTAACACAGAAAGTCCTTGTGAAAAACAGAAAGACATGAAGCAACTATGTATAGCTCCAAACCTACCATTGGTGCTGACGGCCACTCTCCCTCAGCCACAGCAAACATTCCAAACCACACCATTGTCCAAACAAGACTAGTTATCTCAAACACAGCACCTGATGTTACTCATAGTTAGACTCCACAGCATCGTCTCAATGTTCTCCTTTGGAAAACAAAAATGGCAGCCAATTTCCGAGGAGATTAACTAGGCTGATTTGCTCATGGTGAAAGCAACCCAGGAATTCACCTCTAGTAACTTTCTCACTCAGATATTTAAAGAGTATACATTAATGTTGAAAGGTTAAAAGATCTACCCAAAAGAATAAAATGAGAACAAGTAGCATATTAAAATGAGTTCTTTTCTGAGATGAGGGCAAGGAGTCCAGGGTTTCCACTTATTCCTTTCCAAGATGCAGCAACTTAAAAATCCACCACCAATCAATGGGGGGAAACACATGAAGAAAACGGCACACTAGCTGACACTTATACTGAAAAGTCTGGAAAGAGAGAAGCCTTCTGTTGCTGCACGCATGAGGATTTAAGTCGCTGGGTCAGATAAGGGGGCAATCCTTTGAGAACTATAATCTGACAGAGCTCTGTTTTGAAAACTCAACCTGGCAGCCCTGGAAACCCCAGAGAATTAAGAAACTAAAAGCTCTGTCTTCTTTGATACCATTATTACTTCATCCTGATATTAAAATGATAGAAACCAAAAAAATCAAGACTATATAGTTTATACTCTCTAGGGTTTCAGTCGTTCCACACACTGCTATGTAATGACTGAGAGCAAACCGAGTTCCTGGGAGAATTCATTTTTAAATTTGTAATCATCAGAACAAGTTATTAAAGTAAAAAAATTTCACCTGGCACAGGGACCAAATGGAGCTTCAGCGTCACCTTCTGCACAGGTGTCTACAAGTGGCAGTGCCTGGCCTATTTCTCCAACGTTCTTGATACTGACTTAGTTCTATTCCTATTTTCCTCTCTTGGCTTTAGGATTATGGGCTAGTATGACACTGGCAGGAGAGGTACTTTCACATACTCGAGGGCCCCTGGAAAACTAGAGCCCCACCTGAAACTGACTGGACCTCCAAAATAATGGCAAAATAGAAGAAAAAGAAAAAGAGTAGACAGGCACAAAGACCTGGGCACAAATGAAGGAAGCAGATGAACACTCTCTGCTGATGACGGCCAAGAACATTCTCAAGAGCTCATGTATGCCAGCACCAGCAACACACAATTACCACTGCCATTCCATCCTCAGAAGAGTCCTATGGGGTGGTACTGTTCTCACCTCCCCTGGAAAATACATAATTTCCAAGGGTCCCAGAGCTAGTCAGTGAAGGCAGGTAGCAGAATGGCACTCCAGCACACGCCTTCCAGCACCTGTGAGACATGGATTGTTCCCTGAGGGATATTCTGGGACTCCCACCCTAGCCCTCTTGGGCACAGTTTTGCTCCATGGCTGCTCACAGGAAGGCTTTTCAGGGCCTGTGCACTTGGGAGACAATTTCAGGATGCCCAGCCCATAAGTTAACCATCTTGAAATAAACATTTTTAAAAAATAGAGGCTTCTAAAACCTTGGGCAACTTTATAATTTGAAAGGCTTGGTATCACAGTATGTGGTAAAATAAAAATGATACAAAAACATAAAAAGGACAGAAACCGACACCTTAGAGATCTGCACAGATGGTACCAAATTCTCATTTTGAAGTGTGGTGAAGAGATACAAGGAAGTCTTCACTGTCAGTAATGACACACAGTGAGAGCTGAGGCCTGGGGTCACTGGGAGGGGCTTGGTCTGGAGTCTGGAGGGACGCAGCAGCAGACAGTGATAACCCTCACCGGTCATCAATGAAGGGACTGCACAAAACCTCAGGCTCCCCGACTTCTCCAGTGCTGGCCACCTACTGAGCTTCCCACAGAGAGGCTGCAGACAAGGCAAGTCTGTCATCATGTCCCCTCCGCTTGCCCGGCAAGGAATGGTGGCCCTTCCCCTGGTGGCACTGGTGTTAGCTTGGATACCTGCAATTCTAACAACTAGTTCCCTTGACACGCTTCCCAAGGCCCTCAGAAAGTGTGAATGGGTCATCAGTCCCACATGGTAACATCTGCACAGTGGACAGATTACTCGGCCACGCAGGGGGACTGACCAACTTCACAGCTTTCATTCACCTGGTACCTCAGACATGTCCTGCTCTTCCACGTCCACTAGCTACACGACCCAGCAGGGTCAGCAAACTTTCTGTAAAAGGCCAACAGTGCTGCTCACACAGCCTCTGCTGCTCACACTCACCTGTGCTGCTCACACTACGTGGGTAAGAGCCACAGACACTATGTGAAAGAACCGGTGACTGTGTTCCAATAAAACTGACTTATGGACACTGACATTTGAAGTTCATATAGTTTTGATGCCACAAATACTATTCCACTTTTGTTTCCCCTCCAACCATTAAAACATGCAATAATCATTCTTAGTTTGAGGGTCAATATAAAAACAGCAGGCGGGCCATGTTTGGCCCGTGGACCTTGGTTTGTGGACCCCTGACCTAGACTAAGTGATTAAAGGCTTAAGGCTCAGCTTATTTGTCTGTAAAATAGGGGTAACAGTACTTGCTCTAATTTACAACATTAGGAAATTCAGATGTGGGAACAGACATGAAGATGTTTTCACTACATAACCATTTGCTTTCACAACAACCCCACAGCCTCCGTAGAGACCTCTCACAGATAAGGACACAGGAGACAAGCATTTGCTCAGGTCACACATATCAGCCAAGGCCAGGATGGGCAGAGGGGACCTTGGGGGGGCCACAGTCTGAGACCTGGCTACTCATACCCTGGTGTCTACGGATCATCCGTGTCCGCACCTGCACAACAGTGAATGGCCACACACAGAAACTGTCCATGAGAGGAAGCGGCTAACCTGTCACTCCCAGGAGTCAATCTAGAAGTGAGCTTGACTCCCAGGCTGCAGGCCCCATGACAATGCACTTTTCCAGAGTCACACTGAGTTGAGATCTTTCACTGAAAGTGCTCTGCTCAGTATGCCAAAGTGATCAGTACCATCACCAAAATGAACGGGTAAAACTTCAGTAAAAGCAATCTTTCATTTAATCATGATAAAAATATACCCTCCCTTAATTTTAGTGGATAAACTCTGACTCCTTTAGTACAAGGAATATGAAGCTGCATGAGGCAGTGCACAGGTATAAGGAAACGAGACAGTGAGCGTGATTTAGATTTCCAGTTGATCAGGTGCTCCCTGCAACTGCTTAAGAAACAGGTGTCACCACTACAGCGGACATCTCCCTAATTACTTTAGTGTGTGTGACTCTTAATAATCGCTTTCACTCCTTCCTCTCCACTTCCGCACTCCTAAACTGAGAATGGTTACAGATTCAGTGCTTAGGAACCAGTGTACGTATCTCCGTCATTTACTGCTCTCAAGTGTGACTCATCTTGCTGAATGAGACCATTCGGACCACTTTTCCACAACTCTGGTTTGAATAATAAAATCTAGAAAATTCACCATGAATATATACAACTCAAATTTACCAGTGAGGTGTGATGGAGACACTGAGTGCTCCCTTCCACGACAGAGCCCTAAACACCTTCTATGAAATCGTGTGCACAACCTCATTTTCCACATTGGTGCTGTCTTCCACTCAATCATCAACTACATTGGCATCAGTAAAAAACCATCTCACATTAGTAACATGAATGTAAAATAAATATTACCGTCCCCACTAACTTCATCTGCAGATCCAGGTGGCATGCAAAGAAAGGGGGGGTAGGGAGGAAAGGAAGGAGGAGAGAGAGGGAAAACACTATTAAAATGACAAGTAAATCAAAGTGTAAGGAAAACAAAAAATTATCCCCCAAGATCTACTTCAAAAGACAAAGGAAAGACTGTAGCAGTGCATTTACTTGACTTAAGGCATCGCTGTCAACACATTATACAAAGTCACACTGCTGTGCAATAGAGTTTAAATCGGTTTCTACCACACGAAATAAAATTGGATTGCCTCTCACAATTAAGTGTTAAAATGGCTTCTACCCCCCTCAACGGGCATTTGGACCCTCTTAGATAAAAATGAAAACAAGGCGTCATTGGTGTGTACGCTAAAGGATAAGCAGGGACCGCCCCATGGGCTCCTCCGGTGAGCCCAGCACGAGGCTGTGAGGGGCCGGCACACGAAACTGTGCTCCCAGGTCATTTCCACTTGTGTTCTTACGGCACTTGGAGAAATTCCTGCTCCGTTATTAGAAGTCTGCCTTTCTAGAACACTCTCCACGTGGTGTGGCAGCTTCTACTTTGCAGCACCCCTGAACAGCTGCCCAAAGCACAGAAAGCAGCATGCTCTGTCAGGAAGCCATGATGCAAACACTGTAGCTGTAGGCCCTGCACTACAACACCAACACCCACACCCACACGTGGAACCGGGAAGCTCCTTCTCACCCTGCCATGCATCTACACATCAGCAAACAGGCAAACAGAGTCTTCTATAAACAGATCAGCCCAAAGACCTTTATGCAAACCCTTGCCCCATGTTGCTGCTGGGCAGGGGCAGCACATACGCAGACACCCCATAAAGGTACACTCTGCTCGGGACCATCTACAAGCATCTGGTCAGATCTCCTGCCTGGGCGCTGTGGTTAATAAGGGCCTGTGCAAATGTGAGTGCAGTACCCGTAGGAGGTTCGTGGGAACAGAAGAGCAAAGGGAGAAAGCGCTTAGCTTTCTTAACCTTATGCTGGCAGTGACTGACTCCTTTATAAAGAGGCAAGAGGAAAAAGAAAAACAGAAACATTATTTCAATACAAAAGAAACATGTTACATTTTAAGGCATAGCTATAAAAATTGCAATACTTTATTTGACTATTGACACATAATTTCTTACTATGATTGACTTGGGTTTGAAAAAACATTAATATTTTAACATGCAATTTCCTCTTTTAGCAAAGATTAGCACTAGATATAGAAATTTCTACCGAGATATAAGGAGAGTCACATGGCTCTGCAGAATCAGCCAAGTGAAGGTACAGAATCTTTACAAACAACAAAAGTGAAACAAAATGAAACAAGATGAAAAATAAAGACCAATACATAATTCCAGGTTCTCATGAACATCTAACATTCAACCATAAAGAAAAAAATGCAGAAACTAGCACAGCAGATCCCGATTTGTGAAAGAGCTTTACAGGCAATTTCCCCCAAATCATCAACAAAGACAGACTTACAGTGTATGTGTACACTTACGTAAATTACCTTAACAAAAAACCCCCACAAACTGGTGATGAGGATGTTTGAATACACAGGTTGTAAAGCCCTCGACCCACTAGCATCATTTACGCATTCACTCCCTCATTCAGTTCTTAATGCTCATTTGAAAGTCAACTATCTCGCCTGGCCGGGCGTGGCTCAGCAGTTGAGCGGCAACCTAGGATCCAGGAGATTGAGGTTCGATTCCCGGTCAGGGCACATGCCCGGGTTGTGGGCTCGATCAATGACTCTTTCATCATTGATGTTTCCATCTCTCTCTCTCCCTCTCCTTTCCCCTCTCTGAAATCAATAAAGATATATTTTTAAAAAAGAAAAGAAAAGAAAGTCAACTATCTCTATAGCAAGCACCTGCTGGATCAAGAAGACACATCCTAGCCTTCCAGGAGCTCACAGCACAGTGAGAAACAGAGAAGAAACTATTACAGAAAGGTAGGGCAACAGTAGACATATCAGGGAAGTCAAACAAGGGATACACAACACAGCCTTTTAAGATGCAGCAGTGACATGTGACAGAAGAGAAACAGGTGGCATGAAAATTTAACTGCAAACCCACACGGATCCATCAAGAAAGATGAGGACATCTGGTGTGGGTCTAGGGAGAGTACAAGTCAGGGTCAAGATGACAACACTTAGGACATTATCAACAAGTTAGGAGCAGAACTGGGAAGTGGAACATCACTTAAGGCAGCATCAGGGCATGACAAGGTCAGTTCAAGTGGTCAGTGTGTCCTCTGATCTCTAGTCACACAAGTGACTGGGCTCTCAATTCCATTCCTTTCCTCATATGTTATGGTTTAGTGCTGACCATGTGGAACTTCAGCTCAGCCCCGAGTTCTGAGAAAACACTCCTTCTGGCAAACCATCCAACCTGGGGTGGTGATGGGAAACCCCGCTCTCAAGAGTGTTAAAAATCCATAAATTCCTAAGGAGGTTCAGAAAGAGAAAACCCCACCAAACAACATCATCTGGGGAGGAAGGCAACTGGTTGTTTTAAAAACTGGTTAATAGCCCTGCCAGCATGGCTCAGTGGTTGAATGGTGAACCATGAACCAAGAGGTCCCTGGTTCAATTCCTGGTCAGAGCACATGCCTGGGTTGCAGGCTTGATCCTCAGTAGAAGGCATGCAGGAGACAGTCATTGATGTGATGTCTCTCATCGATATTTCTCTCTCTCTACTCTTCTGCTTCAAAAAATCAATAAAAACATATTTAAAAATGAAAACACACACAAAAACCTGGTGAATAAAGGGAAAGAATAAGGCAGTCTTTCCTGTAGGAACCATTCCTCAGGGTAACTGAACAGCAGATGAGGGAAAGTTGTCTTTAGACCTAGTCCAGCTAAATAACCAACAAAGAAATGACAGAAGTCACAAGTCCCTTCTGTGGCCCCTAATGGAATCCAGACATGTTCAGTAGCTGCTAAAGCCGTCAGTGACATGCTCACAGGAGTTTTATAATGGATGTACCAAATCTACTAACCGGTCCGAATGTCACAGAGAGGCAGCCAGGTGTCACATATATCACCTATGATGTATGTAGTCTTGGACAAAAAGAACACCACTGAGCCCGTCTCTGATCAAACTTCTCTTGATCCGAAGGCCCAGCTTAGAGGAAATGCAGGAATATAGGAGCCTGACAGCAATGCACCCAGGACAACATCACAGAGATGGATCAGCCAGACCCAGAGCACAGGAAAAAACAGTGTGACACAATTCCTTCAACAGACAACTTGTAATCAGGAAGGGGAAAAAGAGGAGGCCTGGCTGACAGGTCTAGGAGGAGACAGAAGCAGTAAGTCCAACCAGCACTGCCAATCTGACTCTCGACTGAACAAACCAAGCATGAAAGTATGGTGATCAGAGGAATTTGAGTACTGAATAGAGTTGGTATTACAGAATTAGTCAATTTTAAATATAATATTTTAAAAAGAGTCCTTATGTTTTAGAAATATTTATAGATGAAATATGCCCTAGGTGCTTTAAAACAACTGCTGGGGAATATTTGTGTAAGTGGGTGGAAGCAGAGTAAGAAACATGATTGGCCACAAGTTTTCAGCTGCTAAATCTGGGTGATAAGTACTTGGAGGATTCATTATACTATTCTACCCTCTCTGCTTCTGAATGTTTAAAATGTCCCATGAAAAAAGTTTTAAAAATTAAACATTCAAAAGCATAATAATATTCATACATTCATATGGTTTCCTGCTTGTAAAAGTATCAAATATATTTTTGTCTTGACTCATGCAAGTTGATCTTAATAAATTCCACAATTATTATACAGCCACAACATGCTACAAACTAGAGGGGAAGCCATGAGTTCAAATTCTAGAACTTGTATTTTAAAGGTTTCACACCTTCCTTTAAAATTTTTCTCTTTAAAGAAATAATGAGGCCTTTTGATACTAGCAATATTTGTTTTTATGTTTAGCAAGATGATACTTGGGCTTCTCAGATTTTATTAATAAATTTTTAAAAGATTATTAAAGTTTACTGAAGCCCCATCCTGATCCAAGCCGTGTGCCTGCTGTGACCAAGCTCCCTCTGTGACATGCACTCCCCCCCCTCCCCGCTGTGATCACACTTACAGACCCCTTATTAAAAGCACTGGCCTCTGGGTTCTAAGTTCTACCTGAGCTCTATAATATGCACAAGTTTCCTAAAGAAAAAGAAAACAACACTTGGTAATTAAGCTAAAAACCTACTCTAGGCCTCAGAATAATAAGCCCAAGGAAGCACACTGCTCTATATTAGATGTTTTTGTAGATCTGTTCACCTTACTCAGTTTTATAGGAAAAACCTGGTCTTGATATCAAAGATAAAACTCTCCACATATTGAACACCAACTGCAACTGTCTTACTGAAGATGTAATAACTACCTTTCTTTCCTTTGCAATGAAATATGAATGAGAGCCTGCTATCAGATCTCTTGAATGTCAGAATATTGCTTTATTTCCCAACCAGATATCCACTGAGAGTGGGATCCACCGAGTGCCTCCACAGAACTTGCCTCAAACCTCCTAGAAAGCACCCAGAACAATTTGCAGTAAGTGGTCACAGGGGATCATCTGGGAGACCAGGGACTCTCAGTGTCACTGCTGCTCTGAGTGTTCCTTTCTCCTTTCCCACTACTTGAATGCATTCCGCTAAGTCCCAGCATGTCTCCATACCCTGCTCAGGCATGGAGATGCATTTACGAACATTAGTAACATGCTGGCCCCCTGCAGCCCATGAGGCATGGGACACCGCCCACCAGCCCCAGCCTCAGCATGCCCACCTTGGCTCCACCCTGTTGGGGGCAGTGCTCAGTGACTTCTGAAGCTGGAGCACTCGACACACATCTGTCACACACGCATCATTAAAGTATCTGTGCTAAGCGTATCAGTACGAGCACAAATACTTCTGAGCGGGGCGTATGGGATGTTTGTGGGCAATAAAAGAAAAATGAGCAATTACACGTGCACGCTGGGAAACAAAACGAGCCCTGGCATCAACCAGGCAAAGCCCAAAGGAACTCAAGGCACCAAGCTAACAGGAATCAGGTTTCTTCTAAGTCAGACTGTCAGACCCCAGAGCTATGAGGAAGCTGTTCTGTTAGAAATGAGGCAGACATCTGAGAGCAGATTACATGTATGTACAGATGTATATGTGCGCCTGTATGTCTGTATATAGTATGCACTGTAAGACGGCAAACTTGGGTCCACTGAAGATGCTGTTTCCCGTTTCCCCATTTCCCACATCTTTCAATGGGGAAAAGGACACATATATTTTAAAAACACACCAAGGAAAGTACACCACACTCATCACACCAGCAAATAGTTAAGATAATGCTTATGCCAGTATCTTAACTATATTTTTAAAAAAGCAATATTCAAACACCATTTTATGTTAATTGTGAAAGACAAAACCATCTAAAAATGTTTCACATATTCCAAAGTTCAAAAAACAATGATATACAAAGTATTATTCTGTTAAATTCTGCTGCAAAGATAAATTATAATGGCAATTCCAAAAGTAAAAATTTTCACGCTAAATATGATTAACATGACAGCAAAACTGAAAAAGTTGGAATTCTATATAATCATCTGAGTAATCTGGAATTATACATGTACTTCTCAGCTACAAAAAAACTGATGTACCATACTTGCACCTACTTAACAACAGTAAAATTATGCAGTTGGGTTGTCAGAATGTCTTATTTCTATAAGCTGTTCACAAGGAGCAATCATAATAAAAGGAGCAGACATCTGCCACAATGACCCTCCTACCACCCTGCTGGGAGCATCTCCATTTCACAGCTGGCTCTGTGGGTTTCCAGGCCGAGCCCCTTACCTGACACAGAGACTGCGTGTGTCCGCATGCCCTGCTTTTCACTGTTGGCCAGCCTGCAACAGAGAGGGGTACCGCTGTGAGTGCCGCACTCAGGACCAAACGACTGTTACTCTTCCAAACCACACTGCGACTATCAGGAGGACCACACCATTTCCCGTGGAGACTCACATTTCAGAGGGCGGATTTTTAAAAAATTGGATTCTACTACCCAGACCCTTAAAATCACCAGACTGTTTTAATGTTTTAAAGATCAGAAATTAAGACAGACAACTGAAGGATCACTGAAGTGCTGCGAGAAAGCAACTCATGACAGTGACTTCAAACACTGCAATACCATTAGTGTGGTGGGCATGTTTACATCAAATTCTCCATTTAAATGCTATGCTGTAAGGGACTGCTCCAAAGTTATAAAATCGAAGGGAAATACCTGGAACTGAAAACTGATCCTTCTAAACTTTAGACCATGTGAAAAAGCAGGCAGTACATGAATATACATTATTACAGGCTGAAAGAAGGTAACGTAGCTGGCTACTTGTGTCATGATATGGCTCAACAACATTAGTGTTCTATATATTTGTCCATATAAAATAAAATTTTGGCCAAAGGTTTCAGTGACATTTAAAAAATGGAAGTAGCCCGGCTGGGCATGGCTCAGCAGTTGAGCATCAGCCTAGGATCCAGGAGGTCACAGTTCGATTCCCGGTCAGGGCACATGCCCAGGTTGTGGGCCTAATCCCCAGTCAGGGGTGTGCAGGAGGTAGCCGATCAATGATGACTCTCTTATCATTGATGTTTCTCTCTCTCTCCCCCTCTACTTTCTTTAAAAAAAAAATTTTTTTTAATGGAAGTATAGTCAGTTTAAAATGTTTGTTTAGAAAACACAGGCTAAAGGAACCCTATAGTCTTTAGATGTCAAAGTCACTTTGATCTTTTTATAAAAGAAAACTTTTTCCAGACACTTAAGCATTTATTATAGAAGTACTGAACAGCCCGGCCGGCATGGCTCAGTGATTGAGCATCAACCTATGATTCAGGAGATTGCAGTTCCATTCCCGGTCAGGGCACATGCTCAGGTTGAGGGCTCAGTCCCCAATGAGGGAGTGCAGGAGGCAGCTGATCAATGACTCTCTCATCATTGATGGTCCTATCTCTCTCTCCCTTCCTCTGTCTGAAATCAATCAAGATATGTATATATATATTTAAAAAGTAATGAATAAAAATTCTTCCTAGTATACAGAATTGAAACTAGGGAATATTGCAACTTAAAAGAGCATATCATTTTTGATAATTAGAAATAGTCAATGCCCGGCTGGCATGGCTCAGTGGTTGAGCATCGACCTATGAACCAAGAGGTCACAGTTCGATTCCGGTCAGGGCACATGCCTGGGTTACAGGCTTGATACCCAGTAGGGGTCGTGTAGGAGGCAGCCGATCAATGACTCTCTCACCATTGATGTATCTCTCTCTCTCTCCCCCCCTCCCTTCCTCTCTCTGAAATCAATAAAAACATATTTAAAAAAAAAATAGTCAATGTGCAACAGTAAATCTTTATAATGTTAGATTACAGCACAAAGCATAAAGTTGAGTTCCTTTTATGGCATTCTCTATCTAAAACCATACCTTTTAAGAAAAGTTTAACCAAAGTTCTTTTCTAACAAATCCTGAGTCTCTCTGTACTGCAGAGAACCTCATGCACTGGGGAGTCAAGGGTGCTTTCTTCCATATTCTGTTGCCCAAGCCCCTAGTCTCCTTCCCCACAAAGAGTCTCTGTCTGCTGTTGAGTCACCTTCTCATACCTGTATAGATTGTACATTTCCTGGTCAACAGCAATAACAGGAGCTGCTACCCTAAAGATTTAATGTTTGCTTTATTTATTTGGGTTTTCTAGTATCTGCGACCACTCCTAACCTACCGCCTTTGTTGCTCATGTTTATATCTACATTTAGAATTCCTGTATGTTTTAATCCTCAAAGTCATCCCTTAAAGACTTTCCACAATTGAAGATACAGTGAGCCTGGCCTGATATGGGACATTAATAAATATCTATCAAACACCATCAAGTTTGTGAAGCACGCTGCCTAAAAGCTAAGAGAAAGCTAGCCTCCCCTATCCGTCCAATAACCTACTGTGTGCGACAGATACCTCCTGAGGCTAGGATGACCCTGGCCTTCAATGAGGCCAAAGGAGTATGGACAAGCAAAGAGATGATTTGTAAAGTGTGTAAGTACTACAGTGAAGTAGAATATGTTATGGGAAAGCACACAGGGCTGCTCCTGTGACAGAGGCTCATGGGAGATTTCCAGACGAAGTGAGGTAGGGTGAGACCTGAGCAGGCATGGCTGAGGACAAGGGGGATGGAGGAAGAGCATTCACAAAGGCCTGGAGGGAGCAAGTGGGTGGTACTCCAGTGACTGAGAATCCAATATAGCTGAGGATCAGAGAGTGGGGAGTGGGGACATGAGGCCAGTGAGCTGGCAGGGGAATGAACACACAGGTCCCGCCAGCGGGATTAAGGATGTTGGCATTTATCCTTAAAGCCACAGTAGTGCAAGGGCTTTAATGAGGAAAGCTCCCTCACACTGGAATGCTGACAATGGACAGGACAATGGGCAAAACTGGACAAATATCAGTAGGAAGTAAGCAGAAAAAAGTTAACCCAACAGGCCTGTGCTGCTGTCCTTGGGAGCTGCCCATGGCTGGTGTTGGGGACTTGTATTTCAGGAGTGCTCCCAGCACCCCCTACCTGGTAAGGGGAGGACATGATCACCGTGCCTAAACCGTTTGTACCAACAACACGGTGCTGCTGAACTCCTACTTTCCTTCGGGGAGTCTGGAATTTTGGTTCATACCAGGTAGAGTGTGTGTCTGTGACCAGGACCCCATAAAAACCATGGCACTGAGTCTCAAAAACAAGCTTCCTGGGTCAACAACCCTTCACATCATCACAATTCATTGCTGGAGGAACGAGGGGTGTATGCCGAGTGTGCTGGGAGAGAGCTCTTGGGAGCCTGACCTGGTGCCCTCCCTCTGTGCTGGCTGTACTTGGTGTCCTTTTGCTATAACACAGCACAGCCATGAGTGCGACTATATGCTTAGTCCTTTCCAGAGAATCACAAACCCTGGGGTGGTCTTGGGGACCCAGACACAGGAGACCACTGGAGCTGCCCAGACAGACAAGAACCAGAGCTGAAAACAGGAGGGAAAGTAGGAGGTGGTGCAATGGGCAGAGCTGATGGATTTAGGAAGCAGCTGAAGGAATCCGTGCTGAGCTGCTGAGGGAAAACAGCGAGGCAGGGCAGAGCCGGTCCAGGGTTTCCCCTCGTTACCTTGGGGCACTCTGGGTGAAGTGTTCCTCTGCAGGCCTTAGGATACTGTTCACACCTATCTGAGCACTCAGCATGTGATTACAATTGTTTACTGACCTGTACCCTAACTTAACTGTCATTTGGTCCCCAGTTCCTAGCACACTGGCTGAGAAAGAGACGTTAGTAAGTTCTTTCTTTAGGCATTACTATAGATGTTTTAAATTTTATATTTCAACACATCGGCTAGGAAATTAATGACACAAACAAGTAAAAAGTTAACAAAATTGCTTTCATAGTTTTAAATTTTCTCACTTGTAAAACAGCCAGAATGGTCCCTGTATCAGGTTCTTATAAAGATCAGCCATGACTGTGAAACGAGTGTTTAACTGGTCTACACTAGTCTTGCCACTCTGACTGCTCTCGAGCTCCCTCCTAAAGGGAAAATTCATTTTAAACTTCTCATTAGACCTAAACATACAACATGATTTACAACTGGCTTGAATTCTTTCTGGAAATGTTTTCTAGTTGCCCTTTCAGAAGTGTGGCAATCTGGCTGTCCAGGCAAATGGTAATGAAGCAGTGATTTCTGCAGTTTCTAGCACAAGTAACAATATACACACAGCAGCACTTACTTTGGTATTGATGGCAAAGCCCGTTCACCTTCTGGGGGAAAAAAGGAAAGACAATGGTGAGGTTGCTTCTGATCCTTTTGGAAGATCATATGTAGAAATCAGGGGAGAAGGGGGAGTCCCATTCCAGCATCTTAGCAATAGCCCTTTAAAGGAAGTTAAAGTACAAAGGTGACAAAAGGATGGGATATGTCTCCCCAGGAGGCTCCCCAAGATGAGGGTGTCTTATTGTCACAGTCCACACTCCTTACTGAAGGACTGAACACTCTACATTTTGATAAACAGGCTCATTAGCAGCAACACCAAAACTTGTACAGGAAACACACAGAAGCAAAAGACCATAAATCCACAAATGTGTGGCTCCAGAGGGACTAATGCCACAAAGGGCTCAGGAACAAGCGGGCCTACAAGAGCAGGGACCTGAAGGAGTCCGCGCTGTGCAGTCCTCTATTGATGTCGGTGGCCTCCCACAACGACAGGGAAGCTCAGGACCTGTACCCTGGTTGAGAAGACACTCCCTCCCCACCTCTCCTTCTGTACAGCAGGAAACATGGATTAACGGCAAGTGTGAAAGTTTTCATTGAAAAACCTTTAGATATTTCGAAAAGCAATGAAAAACCTTTAGATATTTCTAAAAGCAGCTTCATTACTATATTTCCTATAAGGAAAGCTACAGCAAATATACACTATATGTAAGGAAAAAATATATGAATAGGCTTTACCAGTCTGATCACAGTGGCCAGCCATGTGCTGGAATCCATACATTTTACTAGCCTTTAGGTTATGGCTTTAGCTGTTGTTTTCAGAGCACAACATGACACTAACTTTTAAACAAATGTTCCAATGACTCCTGTGCTCTACACACACGCGCACACGCGCACACGCGCATACATGCACTGCTCCCTGTGCCCCCAGCTGGGCAGGCTGGCTTTCTGTTGTGTGCTCTCCTGTCCTTTCCTCTATCCTCTGCACTATTTAACAGTCTGCTCCCATGGACACATACCTTCCAGCCCTTCTGGACTCTTTCCTTGGGAACCACCCTTGCCACCAGGTAAGTGCAAGAGGAATCTTGTGTCCACCTGCCACAGAGCTGGCTGCTCTGTGGGGATGACAGTGGATCCACCTACTCAGCTCTAAAGTCAGTGTCATTCTTCCCTCACAAGTAAGGAATCTCAATGTCAAGGTTCCCATAGCGCATCACAATCACACAGCAGCTGTGGCAACCACGGGAACACAAGAAGTGACACTTGGGAACACATGTGTACAGGTGCAGTCCCAGGCCTTCGCATTGACCCCTGGGCCCTATGGAAGACTGCCATATTCTTCGTGCTCAGAGGTGAGAGTCATGGCAC